GCCGACAACCTTCTCGCGCGCTGCGACGTCGCGCGCAATCGAACGCAGCAGGCCGGTCAGTTCACGCGTCTGCGCTGCCTCCTTCTGCGCGCGGTCCGAGCGCCGAACGCCTTGTTTCTGTGTTCCCCTGTTGGGCTGGACCTCGCGCCCCCGCGCGGGCGCGCGCGAGGTCGGCCTGGGGACCGGGGCCCAAAGCCCGTCAATCGCCCAGCGATGCGCAAGAATCGCACAGCACTCAAACATGGCCTGCCCGATCGACGCAGCGCGGCTCATGAGAGCGACTGGCCCCGCGCGACGCCGCGGGCGCGCGGTCGTGGGATCGCCGGGAGACGTCGCCGCAGCTCGGCCCAACGGCAGATTTCCTCGCTCGCGGGTGCGCCCGCGCAAGATCAGGTTCGGATGCCGCGGTCTGGTCGGGCGGCGGCGGCTCGGGCGCGCGCGCCGACGCCGCCGGCTCGCTCGGCGAAGAGACCGCCGGCCCTTGATTACGCCGCGCTCTCGCGGAATAGCGCGGCGTGCGCTTATATTTGCCTGGCGAGCGCGCCGAGGCACGGCGGCGCATCTTCAACGGAAACGCAGCGCGCCGCGCCCAGAGGGCGATCGATCGCCAAGGCGACGGCGGCGGCGACGGCGACCGCGACTTCCTGGCTAATCTGCCCGAGCTAGACCCCGGAGAGACGCTGGCGTCGCGAGATTCGGGAAGGGCCGCATTTCAGGGCCAGCGGCGCGGGTTCGGGCCGTCGAGGCCGCCCCGTGGGCCCTGGTTGGGAGCGCATCATGTTTCGCGGGTGCGACTCAGAGGCGCGCCTCGTGCGCCGGCGCTGCAACCGCGGGCGCGCGCTCTACCTCGACGCCGACGCTCTAGCGCTCGCACCCGCGCCAATCGTGCACCTCGGACAACAGTGGCCACCAGCCCAGCAGACGGACGCATGCGCTGTCTGGATGGCCTGGGCTGCCGCCGGATTTCCGCGGCCCATGACTGCGGGCTCCGGTGACAGCGACCTCGCGCGGAAAGGTAAATCTTGGATGTGCGAACGCAGCCAACGCCGGTTTCGTAAGTGCAGCTGCCAGCGGCAGCAGCCAGCGCCCAAAGTTCGTCGCCCGACGACTGGCGGCAGCAGGTTGGCCATAGCCAGTGGTCGCGATGGGTTGGGGCAGGATCTCTATCGTCGCCATCGCTACCCAACCCGCGCGACGCTGGACTACGACGATCGCGACAGGCGATGCCTGACCTCATGGGCCACGCGCAGGCCTCCACTCAGCAATCGGGCCTTGCGACTAGTCGCGCGCCCGAGCGGCAGGGGCGGGGGGGGCGCCGCCGGCCGCGCCGGCAGCTCCAGCGCCAGCGCCGCCGCATACGGCGCCACTACAGGGGGCGCGAGTAGGCGGTGCATTCCCAGCGGGGCTGGCCCAAAGGCGCGACTCGTTTGTGGGCCTCAGCGCGCGAGCCGTTGCGCCTCCTGCCCCGACTACTGACGCGCAGTTGTCCGGCTTGGCACGCGCGCCGTCGGTGGCCTCGCGCGGCTCCAGCACGCCGCGCGGATCGAGTTCCACGAGGCCGCCACAATCAGCGCCGGCGCCCGCGTCACCACCAGTGCCAGAGTTCCCCTATGGACCGGCCCCATCCAACCCCGACAGACCAGTAGACGTGAGCTCGCCATCTGGGAGAGTGGCCACATGGTTCGCCGGCCGCAAGGCTTGAGTCTTTGGCCGCGGCCGACCCGAGCGCGGCGCGCACGCCGCTCTCGAATGCGCCCAACGACGACGCCTCGATGAGCTCCACGGCACCCAGAAATAGCATTGGAACAATTACGACAGCGCGGCGGGTAGCAGCGCCGCGCCGCACATCGGTGGAAGGTTCGCCCTGGGCTCTCTTTCGCCCCCGAGGCTCCAGGGCCTCCGCGCGGCCTTCCAGGAACGACCGTAGTCGGGCTAGCGGCGATGTAGGTAACGGCGATGTAGTTCCCAGTGGAAGCTTTATAGATCCCCCTCCCGCGCCGGCTGCGGCGCCCGCTGCGCCCCCCCTCCGTGTGCGTTTTCGCCGGCGACGACGCGGAGTGCCCCATCTGTCTCGAGGCCATCGTGCACGGAGGCAGGGTGGTGCGTCGACAGGGCCGACGCATTTCGCGCCGCGCTCGCCGCCGCTTGCCGATGCTGGGCGACGACGCCAGCTTGGCCAATTGCCCGGCGCGCCGCGGACCAACCGCCGTCATCGCCGACTTCCGCGTGACTCGCGCGCGTCGCGTTTCGACGGGTCCGACGCCGATGGCGCCGTCCCGCGCGACAGATCGCGACCCGACGGGCCCGACTCCAATAGCGCCTGCCCGCGCGGCGCCGATGTGGGCGCGCCGACGGGGGCCCCGCGCGCAATCGCCAGGCAGCGCCTCCAGTTTCGCTTCGGTAGTAGATGCAGCGGCGCCCTGCGACGCTCATTTGGATTCGAATATGCCCCCATGGAGGGCATCTCTCCCGCGGTGGCCAGCTTCGCCCGGCGCAGGTTCGAGAACATTGTACGATCCGCCGTGCTATTCGGCAAGCGCTGAATTGCCGGGCGGCCGTTGAGGCGCCATCGCTGGCGCCCAGGCCAACCTTCGGGGCACGCGTGCCCCTGCGAATTTGGCCCGGAGAGCCCAGCGGGCATATCTACAAACTGCAGAGGGGGCGTCGTCAACCCCATTGTGCGTACTCGGCGGGAGATGGCAACCGATCAGGTCGCTGAATGGGAGATCCACTACCCCATTACAGCGACCTCCCGCGGCGGCCGCGCGCTCCAGCTGAGGGGGGCGCAGGCGAGCGTCTCCTTGCCTGCGTGGGTCGGCCCATCAACGCGGTGGCGGAGACGCGCGACGGCCATCGACTGGGCGGCGGAGACAGGCGTGAAACACAAACGCCTCGCGTTCCGCAGACGCGGCTGTGCAATCAAAGAGCCTTGGCGCTACTCATTTCGACCCCGAGTAGGCTCCGCGCGTGCATCTATGCGTCCCAGTAAACGACCTCGGCAAGCTCCAACCACGTTCCGGGGGCCTGCCACCCGCGCAGCTCGCGCTGCTGGCGGCGCGCAACGACAGCTTGGATCACCGCGACGCCGACGGGCGCGAGTTCATCGTGCGGAAGTTTTAGCTCCTCAGTCCGAATGCGAGGGCGCCTTCGCGCGGCGCCGGCCGGCTCCGCAGGTTGCGGCCTTTACGCCTGTGTCGACGTCTATCTCGCGACCGATGGTCGCGCGTCGGCGTCCGCAGGTGCATCGGCCTTAGCGCTACCGGGCACAGACGCTCACCCCCAGGACTCGTTCTCAAGAGCATCGTCGCCGTCGGCGCGGCGGGCCCCGACTACCTCCGCGAGATCTACGTCATCGCGCGCAACGCCAGTCCGCGGACGCACGTGGTCCAGCAGGGCCAGCGCGTTGCCCATTTCATCCAGGAACGATGCGCCGAGGATGCCAAGGTAGTAGTCGTCCCCAACTTGCCCCGATCTTTCCGGGCATCCGGTGTTTTTGTGGACAGAGTTGGCATGGCGCACCTAAGCCGCGACGCCATCCCGAGAGAGACGGTCAATCCGCCTCCGAGCGTCCTCTCGGCGCCTATGGCGCCGAAGGCCTCGAGCGCAGACCCGCGAGGAAATTGCCGGGCTGGCCCGCCAGGCTGACCCGGCCGTTCTGCGCCGGCAGAACCGGGCAGCAGTGCCATGACATCCCGCCTAGGCCCCAGGGAAAGGCCAGAACAGAGAATAGGCATTGCAGGATGACAGCTACGACGTCGACGATCCGCATGACCAGCTTCGCGGGCGCCGTCAGGTCGTTGATCGACAGCGCGTTCCCCGGCGCCAACTATGGCATGTTGCGCATCACGTGCGACATGAACATGGGCGAGGTCCACCGCGCCCTCAACTTCATGTCCGACTGGTGTTCGCGTTGGAAGGACGCCGGCGCCGGGGTCGCGGCCCTCGCGCGACTCGCGCGGGCCCCAGCGCAGACGCCCAGCCGGCGTGGGCCCCAGTGGAGACGCCCAGCCGGCTGGCCAGCTGCCGCCTCGAAACAGGTGACCGACGCGCGCGTGGCCCCGTCCGGAAATGCCACCGGGCTCGTCGAATCGTCGGGGTTGTCGCAAGTTTCTGGCCCAGAGGCCAAGCGCAGCGACTTGTCCTTCGCGGCGCTTGCCGGGGGGGGCTGATGGGAGAGGGGGGCTGCGAAGTGCCTGCTACGTTGGTCGGCCACCGGCGGCTGTCGCTGCAAGGTCAATGCCGCAGCAATCGGATTGAGAGCGCATTTTGGCGCGGCGCCCGCAGCGCGAGAGCAGACTCCATGACCGAGGGCGGCGCCGGCGAAGAATTGAGTCTCGGCGACGTTCAGCTGAGCGAGGATTGCCACGAGAAGCTTGCAGCTCTCAGCGTAGCAGTCTCACCGGGGAAAGGGAAACCATAAGGGCGAAGTCGCCGTGTCGCCCCGCACTACGGGCAACGCCAGCTTGAGCTTGCAACGACGTAAGTCATCGAAGCTCGCGCCCCCAGCGATGGCAGGGGAGGACGCACGACGAAGAACCACGCTCGCGAATGCGACGCAATGAAGCATGCAAGCGAGAGGGCTGCTTCCATGAACTACGTTCGTGGAGCAACGGGCGGCAGACAAGTTGAGCAGGCAAGTGAGTGAAGCACTGCCCCATCGAATTGTCTGCTGCCAGCCACTTTATATAAGGCTCCGCTGGTCTGCGCATGGTTTGCATGCGCTGACCGACGAGACGCAACGGTCTCGTTTGAACACCAGATTCAACATGCACCTCTTTCTTAGGTTCCTGCCTGGCCGCTGCCATTTTAGGTTCCCTGCGCGTGCCCGCTTTCATACACGTCTGACTCACTGTACATCCGTTTGACGCTCCGCGTGCTGACACGGGCGCCTATCCTTTTACTTCCCGCATTTCTAGAAGTCTCGTTTTCCTCCTCGTCCTCTTCGGTCGCCCTCCTCGACGGCGCCGCTCCCCGCCCCCCCTTGCGCGGGGCTTGGCTTGCAGGCTTTGGGACCAGTACGAAGACGCGGACCTCAACAAGGACGGATGGGTGCGCTGCGCGGGCGCCTGTTCGTCGACGTCGTGTCCGTCGTCTCCGTATTCGTTGTCGTCGTCGTCGCCGTCGTCTCCGTCGTCGTCGTCGTCGTCGTGATCCGAGCGATTTGGTTCGACATCGTTTCTGGCCAGCTCATTCCGTCTGGCCCCGAAATGTCAGCGATCCGAATTGACCCGATGCTAGCGCGGACTTGTCGCGCATGCTGGCGCGACCGATCCGATTCGATGTCGATTTCGTGCCGGTGCCATCCGATCCGTTGCACATGTCGATGCAATTCGATATCCCGATCCGATGATGACTGATCCTTCCGATGTGAACCGTGGAGCGAATGGTGGAAAAAGAGGGGTTGATGGAGGAGGAGGTTGGCGGAAGCGCTGGCTGCAGCAGGTTGCGCAGTTCTTGCGCACCGCGGCGGAGCCGCTGTGGGACCGCGGGCTTCCGATCTGGAGAATGGTTCAGATGCTGGTCCCCTTTCTGGTCGCCCTCCTCCTGGACGTGGTGCCCATGGGATGTTGAAATAAGTATATGTGGGCTCCCGTGCCCCAGTCTATGTTCTGTGCTTTCCTACTTCGAGGGCCAAGCGATTGTCCGTTTTTGTTTCTAGTCATTGGGCGGGCGGAGATCGAATCCATTTCCAACGTCGAAAGGAAAAAAGGGTTTATTCCCGTTCTTTTCGGCCGACGGGTACTCTAGGTCACCGGCGGGGGCGCGACAGTCATCTCGATTCGCGCGCCGCGGTCTGGGACAAATCTGCGGCCGTTTTCCAAGGGGGCGGCGCGAGGGCGCCAGGAGCGCGATGACGACCAACCGTAGCACATCGCGGGGCATGATGCGCGATTTCAGGTGACCCAGGTACTTGTGAAGCGGGGATTTTGGACGGGAAGGTGCGCTGCAGCATCGCAGCACCGTTGATGCACCCTGGGTTTACTCTGGACTTCCCTTTTCCGCCAGCAGATGCTTGATTTCCATTGGTATATGCATATGGCAGGCATGTTTGCACCTGGCCTGGAAGAAATAATCTGATTCATTGGCGACGCAGCGGTTGCGCAGCCTTGCGCGCAGCTGCAGACGGCGTGGCCTGCAAAGCTAGGCCTTGGCGATGTCTCGCCCGAGGACATCATGACCACCGTATTTAAGAAGCAGTTAGTCGGACGCGTATCGTCGCCCCCATGTACTTCAATACGCCTGTATAAGGTATCATATGGATGGTGCGTTGGTTACACCGACGTTTCCCAGCCTGGAAGCTGAAGCCGCCGCGACGAGCATCCCTTACACGTTTCGCGCATGCCCTTCAACGGAAAGTCAGTTGTGGTCTTGGCTCTTGGTGGGGACGTTCTCGTGTGGGAACCGCGCCCGATATGGTAAGATTCTCACGCGCTTTGCTCCCCACGTGGGACTCCAGCTGCGGTCCCACTGGGGGCGCTCGCGTGTGGCCGCCGCGATACTTTCGAATCATGTGGCCGCCGCACCCGTTTTTTACGCTTTCTTCCACCGTTTCGTGCCCAACCACGTGGGCCCCCCGCGCCACACCCAGCTGCGAAGTGTTGCATGTTTCGCTGGCGACTGTACCAACCATCCTGTGTGATTTGGGTGCTCGTTCTAAAGCAGCAGCACAGCACTCCACCTCCTCCACTTCCTCCCGTTCATTCCTGCGTCTGCTTTCGGCAAAATCGCCACCCCTCAGATAATGAATTATTCACTGCGCGCAGCTCCCAGCATGTGCATTTATTTGCATGGACTTGTCCGCTGTGGGCGTCTAGGCGCGAGAGTGTTCGAGTACAAGCGGGCGTGAGTATCGACTGTCTGGGAGAGAACCTAATTGTGAATAAGTTGGAGTGTGATTGAGTCTCAGCAGTACGACCGAGTATCTGGGCATGAGCCTGGGGCCTCCTGGGGCGTACTGAAACCTCCTGGGGTTTCCTAGGGCCTCCTGGCGCCTCTTGGGGTCTCCTGGGGTCTTTTGGGGTTTCCTGTGGCCTCCTGATGCCTCCTGGGGCCTCGTGTGGTCCCCTGGGGCCGTCAGGAGCCTCCTGGAGCCTCCTGGGGCCTCCTGGGGAGGATTCGTGCCCCAGGAAAGGTCAACTATATGGGAACAGGCGTGCATAACATTTTGCGGATTGGAAAAGGGCAACCTATAGGAACACATGTAAAACACCACGGAGCCGTGCCCCAGGGAAGACCCAATCTGTAGGAACATACATAAAACATTTGGGATCGGATGCAGAGGAGAAGGGGAGTCGATATAATACACACCTGCTATTACGAGTATTACGACTACTACCACTAGTAGTACTACTACCACTAGTAGTAGTACTACTACCACTAGTAGTAGTAGTAGTAGTAGTAGTAGTAGTAGTAGTACTACTACTACTACTATTACTACGACTACTACTACTACTACTATCCCGGCGACGAATACTACTACTACTACTACTACTACTACTACTACTACTACTACTACTACTACTACTACTGATACTACTACTACTACCACTACTACTACTACTACTACTACTACTACCTACTTACTACTACCACTACTATTACTACTACTACTACTACTACTACTACTACTACTTCTACTACTACTACTACTACTACGACTACTACTACTACTACTACTACTACTACTACTACTACTACTACTACTACTACTACTACTACTACTACTACTACTACTACTACTACTACTACTACTACAAATATGCTCCTGTCCGCCTCATATTCAATTAGAACATAACTTGGGTAGCATGCTTTGCACTGTCCGCGTGAACTGAAGCTGCGTTTCCGCAGCCATACGACTGCCGACCTCGGCTGGCAGGAGAGAAAAGGAGCGCGCTTGGGTGCGTGGGCGGCTCGTCGTCATCCGTCCTCGGCCGGCCGCCTCCCCTCATATTCCTGATAGAGTAGTCTTGCTTAACGGATACTTGTCTTATCAATGTCTCATCCCGCCTCCGCTCTTCCTGAGCAGAGTGAGCATGAGATCTTAAGTCCTTTGTCATCTTACCCCGACTCTCAGAGGAAAGTCTGGTTATCAGCCGAAACGCGCGACTCAGTCGACGCGGGGCCATTAGATACACAAGAAGATCTTTCAGTCGTGCCCCGCGATTCAGTCGCTGCGGGAGAGAGATACGATAAGACTGATATCGTGTCTAATATCTCGAGAAGCGCCGATGGGCGCGTTGAACAACATGATGGACACGATACAGACAGAGACGGTCCTGTTCAAGACCGAATCCTTCCTTCAAATGTCGCCGATCGGGCCATGAGGGGGAGAGGCGCCGAGGGGGTAACCGAAATGTCGGTAGACGTATCCCCCGCAGGGGCTCCGATAGGAGATCGTGAGCAAACCCCCGATCCTCACGGGCGAGACGGCGTCGCGCCAAGACCCAGGCGAGGTGCATTCTCGTCATGGAGAGCCAAATCGACGGAGTCAATTAGCTCCATCCAGAATTCTCCACAAGCTACTGCCATTGCCGCTGGCGGAGCCAGCCGGCCAGGGGAGGTCCAAGGGAATCTGAATACGTATCCTGGTATCCCCACGGAATGGGTGGGTACGCATGTTAGCGCCCCGACCCCTTATAGCAATTAACGGGCAATTCGGTCAGGATAGTGATGGTCCAATAGACAAAGATCATGAAACATATTCCATGGAGGAAGATTTTGATAGTACCAACAATGATATCTCACTGAGCCGAGCATTGTCCGTGATGATAGAAGAAGACATTTTTGCTCAAGACGAAAGGTGGTCTCCGGATGAATCCGACGAAGGCACTAGTATCCTGGCGCCTCAGGCGGACAGGACGGAGACTCAGATGAAGCATGAGAGGGAATCCACTGGACGAACTTCTGCGCCTAACCTCAAGAAACAACGGAATGAGGACTATGAGCTAAACGTCTCGCCATTAAAGGAAGGCTTCTTCCGTAATGCCACCACCTCAGGTGAGTGGCAACCCACTATTCCAGCTGTTGTTGAGGATGAAGAAATGGTCGGACAACAAGATATACATGCTCAGCTAATATCACAAGACGAAAAGGATGAGGAGCTCTCAAATGCGCCCACACCACCAGACAGTTCTTTTACTCGCCCCAGATCGAATGCTTCGAGCAGGGGAAGACCCAAAATACCAAGATCAGGGGCGAGGTCTACTTCAAGGAGCAACAGTACAGTTTCGATGAGGGAGGCACGTTGGAATCCCACTCCTGGCCGTGCGCCGCAGGCGGAGGACAGATGCCCGGGAACAGCCGACAAGCCTGAAGGCGCACGTAGGAACCCAGTGTGCAGGAGTTGCTTGGGCGTGTGCAACAAGTGTAACATACAATGGCTGTGCGCAGAGTGTTGCCCGATGGACGAGCATAATTGCACGTGCCTCCTCGCGCAGTCTATTCAGGACCAGGCCAGGCTAGCAGAGGCTAACACTCAGAGAGAGTTTCTGACTAATGAGGCGCATCTGGCTGAAAGGGCTCGATTGGACGCAGAAGAATTTGCTGAAACTGTGATCGAAGCTAGAAACACGTTTGAGGCTGAGCGGATCGCCCTGGCCATGGCTGCTAGAGAGCGTGAACAGGCGCTGATAGAACATCTGCACAATCAGACTGAGGCCGTGAAATGGCAAGTGGAGAGGGAAACAGAAACTAATTACAGATAATTATTGACTTCGGAGAGACGGGCCGTCATGATGGCAAACGAAGAATCTGCCGACGCCCACGCGGTTGCCGCTGCCGTCGCGGTGGCCAAGATAGAAGGATAACAAATCGCGACAGCCGTGGCGGGACGAGAAAATCATGGATTACAAGAAGAGCTCACAGCCGCCAGGCTGGAAGCAGACAACACCCAAGCTGTAGCTGCGAAGATAACCAAACAGAACAATCTCTATCTGGAAGAGCTTAAATCGCATGAGGAAGCCAGATCGTCTCTCCAGCGCGCAATTTCGAGCAATGCTATATGCCCGCCGGCTAAGCCGATCGGGTCGAACATACGCCAG